TCTTTACCAGTATAGTGAGGGATGAAGCGCAGAATGAATGGCTTGTATTTCGATCTGGGTCATAAATATATTGGCAAGAACGGGCGAAACAGGATTGCCCATACTTAAACCATCTATTTGAAGGAAATGTTCGTCGAAACGTTGTACATTTGCTGTTATGTTAAACTTATATTAAAGTTTTTCTTCATTACCCATTCAAGCCATCTCCAAGTATATGTTTAACTTGTTTTGAATATATTATTTTAAAACAAGCGGAATGTGTGCTGTTCATTTATCATTACATTTATAGCCAACAAGTTATAGTAAGTTTCCTGACAATATGAATGAGAGAAAAATAATTAAGATTAATAAGCTTCTGAGGCAATTTTTAGAGGGTAAGATAAAGCAATCATGAGAGCCATCTTTGTAATGTCTTGTTAGTCCTAAGCCAGACAATTATTTTTTGGTTTCTAACAGTTAAGAATGGACAGGTGTGGCTTAGTGGTTAAAATACTCAGACTGATAATCAGAGGATTTTTGGCTCATATCCTGTTGCTACAAAAACACACATTGCGGCAATGGATGTGTTATAACAGTGATGTTCAAATCTTACTATTCAGTCGGACAAGTGTAACAAAGAGTTTTCAGTGGGTGCTGTTGACTAGCTTCCTTCCCTCTAATTTATCAGTTTCAAAACTGGGCACGACTGTGTGCTGATAGTCTTTTGTGTAGCATTGCAAGAAAACTAAAATAAACAAATAATACACAAAAATCCGCATGTGTGAATGTCTGTGCACAATCGAAAGAAAAGACGAGTTGGACAAGTTTTATGTACATATTGAGTGTTTTTTATGTTATATTTTTTTCTAACAACCATCAATGAATTAAACATAATAAGACATGAAAATACATTGACAGCTGAAATTTCCAACCTGAATGCCTGGCTCCTTCTGCACATGTGGGCTCTAAGACCAACTTAAGAGACCCCTAGAGTTCAGGTACAGCTGTCCCTAAGTTTGATCTACTAGCCAGAAGAAAGGCAGGTATCCAAAAGCACCCCTCCATACATTTGATTAAATAGTATAACTGACTTTCACAGTTATAAAACTCCATAAATAAAAGTGTGGAGTGTGTTAAGCAGCATAAGGTGGCTTGAACCTGAGATTATCTAATTAAACTGGTATGCTAATAAATAGAACACGATATGAGTTATGCTTGAAAAAGTCCTTGTTATGTTTGTTGTTTTTCACAGATTAATTGGTTTTGATATTTGATTTATTCGTGTATGTATATATATATATATATGTTTTTACAGATGGAAAGCCAGAATTAGGATAAACAAGTTTTGAATATACTGGTATTGAGCTAGGTGTGGACTAGTCGTTAGTGTGCTCAAACTGTTTATTTCGAGGATTTATGGTGCACATTCAGTTGCTGCAAATATGTGCACCCTACTTTGGGTGCAGTATAAGAGTGAGGGTCAAATCCATTCTTCAACTATGAAAGTGTATACCAAGAGTTGGCATTGGGTGTTCTTGAGTAACTGCCTTTCCTCTAGTCTATCATTTCAAAATTAGGGACAGCTATTCACAGATAGCTTGTGCATAGCTTTGTGCAAACTATAAAGCAAGCAAACAAAAGTGTTGTCTCACTTTTCTAGGGACAGAGAAATAAGTGACAGTTCCAGGGGCATCACTGTTCACCCACCTACACCTTGTGCCTTGAATCTATCTTACATAAACAATAACATATTACATTGCAACTATTTTTAATAATTTCGAGTAGTAATTGTCTCTTGTGGCTTAAGGCTTGAATCTTCTCAGTTGCTAGTGGCACCCCTGATGTAATCAACTACTAATTGTAACATTATATTCCAATTTTCTGTAATGGTAATTTCATTAATTGCACTGATTATACTATTTAATATATGTATGTATGTATGTATGTATGTGGTGTCCTTAGGTTAACTGATTTTTCAAACAGTATTAGGTAGGTCTGCTTTATAACAGGAAGATAGGCAGGATAAACTATGAAGTAAACCTGAATTTAACTAGGCTGAGTTCAAGTAAATAAATAAACAGTGGACACAATAAGTTATACAAAAAAAAAAGCAATCTTTATTTAATTCAATGGACAAACACAGTGTGCATACTTGCTTTCTGGACGCTAGACAATTGTCTGCTACTGGACTTGTGAATTGTTCAACAGATGTTCTTCCTCAAGATGACCTCCTATCAACTGACTAACTCGATATCCTGTTAATAATGTTTAAATTTAACATTTTTACTTTATGGGAAATATCCAATCTATTTATAGTGACTGGCCATTCTCATGTAGCATATGTGAGGCCATAACCTCTAGACATTATCTGTTTTACTAGTGTTAGACATTGCTGTTACTGACCTTGCACAATATGCTATATTACAGCAATAGTATATACTATTTCAAAAAACAGTATAAAAACAAAACCTCTTTAACAAGGTTGTAAGTGAAAAAATAGTCACATTAACATACTTAGATTTAGTACAATGTAACATAATTCAAGTACATTATATGTATATAAACCCTCCACATACTTATGACTCTAATATGCAAAAATACATGAGAGTTAAATACATTCTAAGAATAACGTATGCATGCATATATAAAGAAATCTTTTTTCCATAAAAAAAGAATCATTGGAATTATATAGAAGGTTAAAATAATGCATATCTGCACTACAACTAATACTTTTAAGATAAAATCCAGTACAAATCATACCAAAATTATACAAAATTAAGATAGAAATTAAGATAGAAATAAAGACAAACTCCAAATGTACATGCATGCATACATAACTAAAACTCTTGTAAAATTAAAGAAAAATAGAATATATACATATAAACATACACACTTAAGTTGATGAAAGTAAATATAAAAATTTACAACTCACTCAGATGCAGCACGAGGCTCTGTTCCATTTCTCCAGTATGTATGGGTGGCCTGTTAAAACTATGTGTGGTTTGGTCAGGAGTTACACCCTCAACAGTTTTTGGGTTTGTTCCTAGGTTCACTTGGCTAGTGGTGCCTCTGTGGCTGTTGATGCATAAACCACTTGTCTCGTTTGGATGGTGGTTTGCTTTTCCACTGCAGTCAGGGCTCCTTATTGACTGCATACTCCCAAATGTGGTGATGACCCATGAGTCAACTTGCTCATCTGCATCATTGAGGTGGTAGAGACATTGAACCAGGTGGTTGGAACTTCAGCAGTGGCTAGAAATCTGTCCCATCCCAATGCCAGGTCACCCCTCAAAAAGGTCCAAGCTCCAGAAAGGTTTTCTTGGACTTAAGAATGTAGTGCACCTGCCAAAAATGCAAACACATTTGGCAACTCTATTGTGTTGACATGTCACAAACTCCAATGTGATCCCTTACTAGCAGGTCCATCTTCTTCTTCTTTGCCATTTCTGGCTCCCACTTTGGTTGTGTCAGTAGAAATAGTGTGGAGACGCGATCCCTCTGGAGTAAATGAAGTGGTTAATGATGTTACTCCCTTTGTGACCAGTACGTCCAGTAGAGGCTTTATTACTGCCAGACCTACCATTGCTTGACTTTTGAAGACTTCAGGCCAACTTGACCACAGACTATGTAAGCTCTCCCATATCTGATGCAATGACCAGCATTGTATCTTTATTCATGGGATTAGCCATGGTAAACATCAGCTCGGTGTAGTCTACTCTTTCACAGTAGAAGAAGTCCTAGGCATACTGGTCTTCATTGTATTGATGATCCATAATGCAGCTTGGGGATTTTTGGAAAATTTCAGGAAACAAGGCAGGATAACCACTGTCTAGTTAAATTTAAAAAAAAGCAAGAACTCGATCTTAAGTAGCAAAAGTTCAGATTCAAAGGCCATGTCAGGTTAATTACAACTTGTCAAAAGTTTAGCTAGATGTGCAGGTTGAAAATATGCATATGAGTTGGGTTTCAACCATCACATGTTCTAAAATCCTTTTGACATGGGTTCATAACTTTATACATTGGAATAACATTTCTACTTGCTTCATGTGTACTCACACCTTATCTTGGTTGTAGAAATGTATCCCTAGTGCCTGACAACACATTTAAACTTACAGGACAACAGATAACATAGCCTCCCATCAGGTTATTATGTGGATAGAGCTTGATTCTAACAGGAAGGAATGGGTGTTGAGACTGCAACTGGTTCGTACACACATAAGTTGGTTTGGGTTTGGTGATGCCAACCTTTACTTTTGACCAATAAGATCCACTAACATTTATTTTATTTCGTTAGAGAACTTTGTTCAGTTTTAAGTTTGGTACTAGTCTTTGGTGCAACTTACAAAGCTTTCACTATGCAGTTGTTACTTTCTGCCTCTCCCAAGTACTGAACCTTGTACTGAAACAATGTCCAGGAAATATTCAGTAAAATTATGTGCTTATTAAAAATATTTCAGCCTATGAGTGAAAATATTATATTACAACCAAACACAAATTTGTATTTATTAAGATATTTAACTCACTGTCTATAAATCTCATTTACTAGTGAAAATGTTACCAACTCATGACTATCTCCTGGAAGTGTCACTTATACACTGGAATCTTCTCTCGTGTGGGTAGCCTGTTAACACTTTGGGTGGTATGGTTAGGAGTTCCACCCTCTACAGTCTTTGGGTTTGTTAAAATATCTTGCACTACTCTATAAAAAATACTAGGTAAACTGTGTTTTTTCTAAGATGTAGAGAGAGTCGCTTTGTTACTATTATCTCTTGTATGAAAATTCACTCCTGATGAACATTTTAATGTCAGGATTGAAACACATATATTTATTTATATACATATATCGCCATTACACATTGTCACATACTCCAGCAGCTTATAACTATCTCTGATTTCCCTGTAAAATTACTTCATTTCACTTCCACAACCTTCCAAACTATTTCTTTGCAGCAATGGTCCCAAATATGCTGCCATCTAAGAATAATAAAACTCAAGTTATTTTTCATTTCAGGCATCATAAAATGAACAATCACTGGCAGATTTCAACCAAACTAAGACAACTATAATTCTCATCAGCCAGGTTTAATACGTGTGCTGTTACTACTACACTCAGAGGAAACACAACTTTCTCAATGCATATGGAATCAGTGTAATCTCCAGGTATGGAGGGGAGAATCTAGTAAGTACTATGCGGCATGCTCCATGGAGTTCTTGCTATTCAGCTAGATCAAGGGAGTGATATTCTCAAGATGTCAAATAATGTTTCACATCAGAAAATTCACTCATTGGCTCAGAAAGCAGTTACAATGCCCATTCAGTCATCAATTTTTCAACTAGATAATCATCCTAACTTATGAATTAAATCAAATGGCAATCACAACATGTACACCTTATATTATATCATTAAATGCTGCTCGTTAGCCCAGAAAACAAAAAGTTGCATAGCCTCTTCAGCTGAGTTTTAGAACTTCTAGTGACAGTTGTTCAGATTATTAATATTCTATGTATTACATCTATTCATTCCATCTGTCTTGGTTTCAGGTAATCATGTGGTAATCGCACAATGTAGTGCATAAATTGTACTTTACCATATTATCTACTAGCTCAGAACACTTTTCAACCGAGTTTTCAAACTCCCACAGCTACCATCTTCAATTGAACAAACTGTTGATGTACTACACATTATATCCATTAGCTCAGTTGTTGCAGCCTGATAATTGAGCAACTATCATCTCATATCCAATAGATATCTCCTTTAATGAAACTCTGTTTGATAGCTCAGAAAGCAAACGTCCCTTAATCTTATGATCAACAAATAATCCTAACTGTGTCATAAGCAAGTGAAAATCAAGGATCACTACTTCCTTTCAGTTAGTGATCTTACAATAAATGACTGTCCTAACTCTTAATTGTCTAGCCCACCCATACAAATAGCCTCACTGCTTGTAATAAATACCCAGTTTAACTGGACCCCATTAATACATTATATGAAATTTTTCTTTCTCTTAACCAGCCACTCTACAATCCAGTTAAGTTGTCTTTCCCCAACTCTTACTGATTTGTTTAGCAAATATTCTATATAGTACTTCACAAAGTTTGTTTTGAAAATCTAATAAATTTATTGAATGTCGTATAACTGAATAAGTATGTCATCACTTTCTACTTAAATAAATTATAAAAAGAACAAGAAACAACTCAAAAACAAATAAAAAAATCTATATCAAGATGTCAGTGGACTCATTCGGGAGACACAAGTTAGAGTCTGATAAACTTTGGTGTAAAAGCAAACAAAGATCATCCTGGCATTCTAATAAACTAGATATTTGATAGTAAGGTTTCCAATAGTAACAATAATTATTAAAACAAGATATTCTTTATAAAAAAAATCATAAATAAATATTATTTTCAAAATTGATGGAATCTTATTATTTTATAAAAACTAAACAGAAAAACGTTAATAACTAAAGCTTATTATTCTCACAGTCTAAGTGAGTAAGGTGCTATAGAAGTTGTTCAAGTTGAGAGGCAAAATTTTCTTGGAGAAATAAAAATTCATCATAATAATTTTATCATAACTACTACTTCAAACAAAATTCATTAATTGTCACTTTCATTTATGTATTTTATATAAGTTGTGTGGGAGAAAAATTCTAACTTTATAAGGCAGTGTGTCATTCTGTGGAAAATATTGATCAAATTGATTACTCTCTCTCTTAGATGATCTTTGAAATTAATTAGTCAACATTTCTTAATTTAATCTTAATTTCTCATTATAATTTAATTTGATATTGAGGTGGTAATTACAAGCTAGATAAACAATAATAATAGTGTTCTATAAGCAACCTAAGTTTTGCAATATTGTAAGGCATACATAATTAGTACAGGAGCACGTGAAATATCTAAGTGATGGAGAAAAATCATGTTGTTACTGTGATAAAAGAAATACTCTGGGGTTTACAAAATGGCTTGTTGCTATACTTAAAAGTGATGCATTTATTAGGTATGGCTACACCCATTATTGGGTCTACACCTGCATTAGCAAGGCTTGGTTTGATTTGTTTTGAATTTCATGCAAAGCTGTGCTCTCCCCACATCATATTAGCTCAAGATATATGGACCTTTATATTTTGGCTTTTAAACTAAATATAAGTGTTATAGTTATGTTTTCTTAGATGCATAAAGGAAATGGGAAACAGATTTGTTAGTTAGAGTGACCTCTGCATTAAATTAGTTGAGTGTGACTATGGGAGGGTTGTGCCATCTGTTATTCAGAGCCTTAATTAGTAAGCAAAATTCTTCCATGTTTAAATGTTTATTGCTTCGTAATCCTCAAAAGTGAAAGATAGTTTTCAAACTTGGGGAATTTTATTTAGGAACGTGACATAAATGCAACCTTTGATAAAGGTGTTAATAAATTAAAACATGTTTTTAGCTTTTTCTGGTCCACGTGAGAGCCAGCTTTTCAATATCTGACACACTAACACCAAGAAAACCTTGTTCTTTCTCTACTTCAAATGACAGTAGTGAATAAAATTAATCTAAAAATTTTAAAGTTTCAAAGGAAGAACTTTCTTATAAAGCATTTGTGCAAACAAAAATACATATCATATATCTAAATTTAGTTCACCCAAGCATTTATTGGTAATTGTAAAACTACTAAACAGTACACATACATATATATATATATATATTGACACAAATGGCTTTATTAACAAAAATAATGGAATCAGTGAAATGAGAAAAATGGCATTAATTTATAATGTACAGTCCATTATTGGTATATATATATGTATTACACATATGTGGAGATTGTACACTGGACTTCCAGTAGAAAGTTCATCCTATCATAAGAGTGAAAAGAAATTTTCATCTGTATACTTAGCAAATGCATTACTAAAACAATCAAGTTCTATGGCTATAAAGAATAATGATTATCATACATTGCTTATTTCCTGCACCATAATTCTACTTTCCGCTTTTTTTTTTTCATTACAAGTAAGCTTATTAATAATTTACAGTTTAACAAAATGGGAAAATTATTTTATAAATCTTAATTTGCTTTTTAATATTTTTTTTGGTTTTTAAAAGTAATTTTTGACTTCTCATTTAAATATATTTTTCTCTAGGTAACTAAACCTTTCAAATAAGCCAATAAACATTGATAAGATAGTTTGGTTGACATTCATTTTTGAGAGTGAAAATGTTTAATCATCAAACTATTATATATCAGAGAGAAATAGAAGTACTTAAGAATAAACAGTTTTACTTTAGAGGGATTGAAACATGTAGTCCATGTTTATCTCATTATACAGTGACCAAACTGATAAAGAAATAAGTTAAATTTCATTTTCTTTGAAAACCCATTCTGGAAACTGATCCACATAGTACTTCATTTGTTTTTCTTCTAATTGTGGTTTGTTACTTCTACAAAATAGAAAAACAATTAAGATATATAAATATTAACTACATATACCAATCAAAAAAACTTGTTGTTATTTTAATCTGATATTTTTGAAGTTTTTACCTGCTGACTAAAAGAAAAAAAGAAGCATATCAATATGATTATAGATAAGAACTTACAGGAGCTAAAAATGTTAAGGGCATTCCATTATTACTCATGGTACAGTGATCCTTATTGTTTTTTTAAATGCTGATCTTCTGTAGAGATAATTATCTGACCAATAAAGGCTGATTGTCAAAACCAGGCAATCAGATCTACCCTCTGCTTTGCAGAGGACAGGTCATTTGGTAAGGCAGGGCAGGGACTACTTTTCCTGAACCTGTCTCACAGTACATTACTAGTAGTGACCTCTATACAAACAGTTAATATTATATAAATAAAATGAAGTAACACATAATGGTTTATAAAGCTGTGAGTTGCCATTTGAATCCAAATAAAGCTGATATATTTGAACAATAAATTAATTTAAACTAACAAAACTTTGTAACAAAATTAAAATATAAAGAACTTGCAAAAATGCCATGTGTTCATTTTTATTTGATTTAAATGCAAAAGGTTCCCACATTTTTTATTTATGTCTTGGGCGGCAACTAATTTGGAGATAATCAACCATTTTGTTGTATGCTGGCTTGTTCATAAAGTAGAACTCCTGCCATCTGGAGTATTGGTCCTAAAAGTCTCTTACTCAAATATAGCTTGTGTTATTTATGTAATAACTCTAGTCCACCTACACATAAGAACTGTAAGCAATATGATTCATCAATATATTAATGAATAGTTACAACTCTATTGATTTATGCTTAAAAAATACCAGTGACAACTGAATTAACTTTTTATATGCCATTAGACAACCAATAAGTTTTAGTTGATTAATTGCTTCACAATTTGTGGATTTAAACATGGAGTACAGTCATAATGAAGAGTTCATACTGCCAAGTAAAAAGCATGAATAAGCAGTTCTTTACCACTTTCTTAAATAGATGTAGAGGTGAACATTTCCCAAAACAGTTAATTGATATGTATTTACTTACCTTAATGTATGGTTGGTATCATTTTGTTTAGCTGATAAGGGAGGAAGATCGACAGTAGTATATGTCAATTCAACATTTCTAACACTTCCAAAAAAGTCTGTTAGTGGAACAGTTTTTGGGTCTCTGCGAAACAGATCTTTTCGAGAGGCCACAGTTGACATACAAACTCGTTTTGGACAAACCTTGAGCTGTTGGAGATAAAAAAAACAAAGTATCAAATATGTTAATCAGTATCTTTGGATGAAACTCTTTTAAAATATAGTTATTATCAACAGTTCTGTAAAGTAATTTTATTGGTAAAACTACAAGTTTACTAAATCAACCAAAACTGAAATTTTCAATTGGTTACTAACAGGATCTGCCTGTGGAAAAGTAAAATATTTTTTAAACGTTCCAGCTAAAGACAAAATGCTTAGAATATCTATATTTTTGCTGTTCTTCTAAATTTTGTTTAGAGATTAAAAATGTTTCAGCTGAAAATATTCAACAGTATATTTATTTCAACTTTTTAATTTTTTTATAGGTTTTAACCCATTAACTGCAGCAGGAGCAGCTCAGTTGCCATTTTCTGACTTGCAGATAAAACTGAGTTGCCATCAATCACAATAAAATGGTAATTATCGTCATTTGCATAGAGTTATAGTTATATATGTGCGACAGACGGATATTTCCGTCATTCACAGCTAGGCCATAGAACTTTAATGACGGAAATACCCATCATCTGCAGTTAATGGGTTTATAGTATGTTTGTGAAATGTGGCTATAATGTTTGAAAATAAAATCATTTAGTTTTATAACTTGTCTCTATATTACATGTTTATTAAATGTGAATATATTACTCAAACCCTAACACCATTATCTAACACTCTGTACATTTCACATAGAAAATTTTTTATTGTATCTTTATTGAAGTTTGTGAAACTACATTTCTAAAATGTTTATACAAAAGTTCACAGTCTGAAGGAAATATACCTTAAGTTAAATTTTTGTGTGATGTAGTTATTACTTGTATTTAAATTCACATGCAACTGAAATGTTGGTTCCTTTTCTTTTTTACCAGAAATCTATCCTTTTCAATATTCTATTCCAGTGTCTATGAGGTTTTTCTCTTTGTTAATTCTGGGTCAGTTGATAAATGTATTTTGTTTGTAAGTCTGTAGATAAAGAAATTCAGAATCATTTACACCTTCATTTTGCTAAATGTAATTTAGTAACTATGACTTACACAGTTCTTTTACAAAAGTATATTAACTGATTTTACCTTTTATATTTCACTGCTTTCTGTCTGAATTTATCATGAAAAAACCTTGAAAACATTTCTCTGCTGTAAAGTTATAGGTTTAGTAATTACTTGGGCCAAATTTTATATTATTATGTTCTAACTAACTAACTATATATATACTTTTTTTGGAATTGATTCATGAATGTCTAAACTCCTTTTTTTAGTTAACTTTGAGTACAAGATTTTATGGTTTTATTGCTCTAGTTTAGTTGGTTTATTAAATATTCATCCCAAATACAGAAACAAGTGTATTAAGGTCAATTGTTCAGATACTTTTTGATGGAGTATCCTGTCTTATAAGTACAATAAATATAGTTTACTATGCTTTAAAGAAAAAAAAGCTAATATATAACTTATCTTATAGCTACTTTCTTCTGTTAAAGGAAATGTATTTATCAATAAAATTGCAAAATTTGACAAGTTGGCATAAAAATAAAGACATAATAAATGATAATCTAATGTCATCATCCTCTCTCTTATACATATATTTATCAATTTTTAACAATGACACACACCATAATGCATTTTTCTATACTTTACAGAACTCAATAAATTAGCTATGCAATTTCAATCAAAACTAATTTTGTACTTCCTGAATGTCTCACTATTCTTACAAATGAAGTACCAACATAACTCACAAATTCTGCCATGTTGCTTGCACTGTCGGGGTTGATTTTCTCAAGAAATTCCAGAGCATAATAAGTGTAGCGATCAATAACATAGACCCCAATAGATGAGTCACCATGGTGCTAAAACACAATCATATGCATTCAATCATAAATTCTAAAGTTTTTATCATGGCAAATTCATTGTGCTACAACATTAAAATGCTTGAACAAATTGGTCAACAATGATAAAAAAAATCAACATAATGAAACTTAACTTAAAACTTCATACAGCATTCTCTAAACTAAATCTTTAGTTCTTTAGACCATTTATAGACACAAGTTGAAATACATAAGACCATGTTTTACATATATAAGTCACTATATCATAACCATCTAGAACATTCTCCTTCTGAACATAAAATAAACAATATTGACCAAGCTCACGCTGATCTGAGGTTTACAAGTCACAACACCTGTAGATGTTTAGATTATTTAGCTAGTAAATATAAACTGTACTCCCAATAGGTTTATGTTTTTAAATCTACATAGAAACCACTAAATCGTTATTTAGTTAGATACAATTCAAATTGGATATTCCTTTTACCTAAAATTTTGAACAAAAGTGAACTTTTACTTGTTTAGGTTAATTATGTACTTCACTACAAACAAGTGTAATCCAAACCTGCTAAACTCATTTTAACCCTACATGCACAGGTAGGGGTCAAAGTGCATATGCCATAACTTGTTACAGAGTGCCTTTCCACATGGTATTATATATTTGATGTCAGGGTTATCAGCTATTCATGTTATCCTACATTGCCGATTTGGCAATAGTTTGTGGTATATTAAATACTAGATCCTATAAAAAGGGGTACAGAAAAAAACTGTATATAAGCATTTTGGAGGTTTGAGAGATTATGTAAATACAATATGCAAACTGTATGATGGACAAAAGTATTTTTATTCTTCACATGAACATCACACCTTACACTCCAACTTGTCAGAGTCAGACTTATGTCAGCAATTCACAGATGTATCTTTAGTACAATGTGTTTGTAACACATCTGATTTTTTGTGTACAACAGACTTGTACATTTGAATAAAGTCTGCTAGATTTTGTGTAGATACATGTAGTAAATTTGGAATTATAATCAACATTCCTTCTCCAATAGGGGGCTCAACAGACCAACCCCATACACTTTCGGTTAGAAGTTATTATACCTACTCTTGTGGAGATAATCAACTAATGTTAAGCTATTGGTTTTCATACAGAAATGCAGTACAGTTGTTTATGCATATAGGAGTATAAATCATACCATCTTTAACTTTGGCAGTAAATTGCTAAACGGTAAATAAGAATTTACTAAAAAAAAGTAACAAAAATGATTAAATAGTTTCAAAGTTAAAAGCAGTTTGAAAGTATATCTATAAATATAATAGCCAAATGTCTATCATGCTTTGTATCTCCTGAATGGTTAATTGTAGAAATAAAGTTATCAAAATGCTTATTTTCCAGAATACATTATAGAAAATTATTAATTTTTTTGCAATTCTTAAAATTTCATATTAACATCAACATCAATCCATTAGTCTTGGTATATGCTGAATGGTCAAACCAAGAAAAAAAAACAAACTTATTAACAATGGAAATGTTTCTTTTTGTGAGGGAATTTCAGAAAAACACCGAGAGTTTCTCGAATGACTGATTGAAAGAAATACAAGTAGAAGATAGGAGCATGAATGGAAAGATTGCTTATAGGGAGGAATGTGTTTGAGTATGTATTTGTTGTTGTTTGGTTTATAATTTTTTTATTACTTTTTTTTCATGTCAGTATTATATACATGCATGATTTTATTGTACCATGTCAAATAAATTGAATATCTCCCCTTTGACACTTCTTATAGAACTGACAACTGTCAAAAATGCATACTTCAGTAGCAGTGTTTTCTTGCACTCAGTAAAATGACAAGGAAGGGTAGCATCCAGTGGAAAAATCCCAGCAGCTACTTAACAAATATGAATGTTCTATTGTGCTGGATGTACCCATTACATTGAGACCCAAACATTTTTGCCAACAATGCACTGCATTCAGTCTCATTTGCTTTAAAACAAACACAATGCAATCTTTCTTATTAAAATAACACATGGAATGACAAAAGATGGTTGTAAATGGCCCACTAGACAATCATATTGCATATATGCTATGATTGAAGGCATTGTATCAACTGCACATTTTGCATTTATTCATCACTATTTTTTAAGAAAATTACAATTGAATTGTTTTAACAGGCATCTACTAGATTAAGCTTAATATTAAACTTTATAATTCATTTTAAAAAGTGACAGACTTACAGTTAAGAAGGATATATTATCTGCAATATTCATTACATAGTAACTTAGTACTTGCACGATGCCACAATTCATACATGAAAACATATAAATATAACAACATATTTGTGCTCATGTGTATAAGGCATTTTTTTATGTAAATCATTGGGGCAGGAGATGTTTAAGATTCAATGCATTTTTGTCCCCCTAAAAAAAAAAGAGAAACCCAGTTAAAATTAAAGTACCTTCCTTAATGAAGCAGTTATACTTTAGATATGAAATTGGAAATTTATGATTTTTATAGCATTACAATAAAACGTTACTCCATGCTTAATATCTACAAATTGTAAACATTTGTTATCTTTTCTTGATGACAATTCGTGGAAAATATTTGCAAATGGAAACTCATTACTTGATAACTATGAAGACTTCCAACTATCTCTATAAATTTGTCAATAATAAAACACTGCCCATAAATTAATGTTAGTGGCTGTTTACCATTAGATCTTCTTCAAGCTATGATATATGTTTATATTGGCTTTCTAGCCCAATAACACATATTTTAAAATGTATTTATGAAGAACCTGGAATATGTTGACCTAGTATTCATTTGTCTCCACTAACAAAATGAGGATTGGATAATTTCATGGACTGCTTACTTGGTCATAAGTTATGTTAACAAAGAGTAATCACTTCACTAGTGGTGTATTTGTTTGTTTGAATGTGAAATGATCTAGTTTGTTAAGTATTACATAAACTTACTGATAGAGAATCTTCACCAACCCGACTGCTTGCCACTGCCAGGATGTTAGGAGAATAAAATTTCTGGAACATTGATTCTGCTTGGCAAGTGTCAATCATGAAAAAAATTTCATGATATCTGATTGTGGAAAAAAAAAAAAAAAA